TTTATATGTGTGGTTTCTCAAACAATGAGGGATCCCAACAATGGATGCTGTTTTTGAGCTTATCATGAAGAATCCTAGATTAACATCGATGATTTAGGGGTTGCCCCCCATTTTGGGAAATCTCCATATGATTATAAATGATTTGTCGGATTTGATCAATGTGGGAAACCCTAGCTGCCATAAACTTACCCTGACTGGCAATGGTACTGCTATAGCACCTATAGAACTGGTGATGACTGGGGCGGGATGGTGAAGGCTTGTGAAAATTCTTGGGTTTACCCGGTTTACCCCATTCATCAATTCCTGAATGGTTGAGCACTCTTGAGCGGGTTTTCCTGAATGGATGGTTACCCTCTGGTAGTTTAACATAGCTATTGAAAATGGCAATCTATCTGATAGTTTTCAGACCTTCGGGATGCCGCGCGAGCGGCACCCAAAGCATTACGGCGCATCGGATGCGGCACCATGGTGGCGGTTCCGACACGGGACTTCGGAGATTCTCTGCCGCCTTCGCCTGCAGCTTCTCCAGCTTCGAAGCCGGAGAAGCCGATTCGTCGGACGCAGAGCTGCCCTCCGATTTTTTTTCGTCGGAGCGCTGAATCGTTGGGCACAGCTTCGCGGCGAGGTGGCTAACCTCAGTGGATTGTACCGACAAACATTCTCATTTATGGAATGACTGACCATTCTTGTTTAGGGATGATGACATTTCGATGTCATACATTTTCACACTCCAAACATTTCAGGAATTAGCCATCAAAAACCTTGATTTGTTTTTTCAGCCAAAGAGTTTTGCCGTTTCATATCATGGGAGTTGTAGCATTTCTTTGTCTGATTCGGCTTTTTGGGAAACCATTCGCTTTCCGCGATTTTTGCATTTCATTGGCGATTCTATATAGTGGGATATGTTTTTTGGATGCATCCGCAGCCATTTTCCGTTTTGCCACAACCAGCTGAAAGGAACGTGCAGCAAGTTCAGGCCACTGAGCCATTGGAACCAGCTGAGAAACGTGCAGCACGTTCAGGCCACCTCCTTGATGCATCCGCAGCCATTTTCCGTTTGCCACATCCAGCTGTAAGGAACGTGCAGCAAGTTCAGGCCACTGAGCCGTTGGAACCAGCTGAGAAACGTGCAGCACGTTCAGGCCATCTCCTTGAGGCATCCGCAGCCATTTTTCGTTTTGCCACAACCAGCTGAAGGAACGTGCAGCAAGTTCAGGCCACTGAGCCGTTGGAACCAGCTGAGAAACGTGCAGCACGTTCAGGCCATCTCCTTGAGGCATCCGCAGCCATTTTTCGTTTTGCCACAACCAGCTGAAGGAACGTGCAGCAAGTTCAGGCCACTGAGCCGTTGGAACCAGCTGAGAAACGTGCAGCACGTTCAGGCCATCTCCTTGATGCATCCGCAGCCATTTTTAGTTTTGCCACAACCAGCTGAAGGAACGTGCAGCAAGTTCAGGCCACTGAGCCGTTGGAACCGGCTGAGAAGCGTGCAGCACGTTCAGGCCACCTCCTTGATGCATCCGCAGCCATTTTCTGTTTTGCCACAACCAGCTGAAGGAACGTGCAGCAGACTCAGGCCACATCCTTGATGCATCCGCAGCCAGCCACAACCAGGTGAAGGAACACGCAGCAAGCTCAGGCCACTGAGCCATTCCCTGTGAATCAAATACTGGGTCTATTTGCTGACATTTGCGGTAAACCTTGCTTTTGACGTCCGTATGAATTATTTGACGTCCGTAGTCAAAAATTGGCAACATTTGCGGGAACCATAATTTTACCGTAAAATGCAATGAGCACGAGCGAAGAGTAACAAGGGCTGATATAAGATGAGGGGTCAATCCTGAAGAGATCACGGTTCATCACGTTTTGTCACGGTATTTTCGACAAATGTCATAATGTAGGTTACTGATTAGTGTGGGGAGGCCCCCCCCCCCCAACAAATTTGTGTAACAGAATAGTGTGGAAAAAACAAATTACCGGGTACAGAATAGTGTAAATCAAAAAAAAATGATTTATTGATTTATTTTCAATTGATTTCAATTTATTTCAATTTTCAATTTACTTTCAATTGATTTCAATTTACTTTCAATTGATTTCAATTTACTTTCAATTGATTTTCAATTTACTTTCAATTGATTTCAATTTACTTTCAATTGATTTCAATTTACTTTCAATTGATTTCAATTTACTTTCAATTGATTTCAATTTACTTTCAATTGATTTCAATTTACTTTCAATTGATTTCAATTTAGTTTCAATTGATTTCAATTTACTTTCAATTGATTTCAATTTACTTTCAATTGATTTCAATTTACTTTCAATTGATTTCAATTTACTTTCAATTGATTTCAATTTACTTTCAATTGATTTCAATTTACTTGCAATTGATTTCAATTTACTTTCAATTGATTTCAATTTACTTTCAATTGATTTCAATTTACTTTCAATTGATTTCAATTTACTTTCAATTGATTTCAATTTATTTTGAATTGATTTCAATTTACTTTCAATTGATTTCAATTTATTTTGAATTGATTTCAATTTACTTTCAACTGATTTCAATTTACTTTCAATTGATTTCAATTTATTTTGAATTGATTTCAATTTAATTAATTACTTTCAATTGATTTGAATTTATTTTGAATTGATTTGAATTTATTTTGAATTGATTTCAAATTACTTTCAATTGCTTTCAATTTACTTTCAATTGATTTCAATTTACTTTCAATTGATTTCAATTTACTTGCAATTGATTTCAATTTACTTGCAATTGATTTCAATGTTAAAAAACAAAACCACCTCAGGAAGCAGCTGGACACAATAGTGTACCCTCAAACAAACCATACTATTGTGTATCATGATCATTCATGTTTTTTTTTGCTTGGCTGAAACTAATCCTTTGGAAAGCCTTTGGTTTTGAATCCAAGAAAAATGAAGCTAAGTAAAAGGAAACAAACTTTAGCAAAGGAAAAAGAAAAGGAAATGGTTGAAAAAAAAAAACAATCACCTCAGGAAGCAGCTGGACACAATAGTGTACCCCCAAACAAACCACACTATTGTGTATCAGGGTTGCTCATGGACTACCCCCTTGAAAAATTGTTTGAGTCATGTTTCTTAATTGGGTTTTAATAAGGCATCATATATTTTGGGAAATTGTGCATTTCTGAGAATTCTAAATAAAAGAAACTAATTAATTGAGAAAATAAAAAAAAGCTTTAGCAAAGGAAAATGTAAAGGAAATGTTAAAAACAACATCACCTCAGGAAGCAGCTGGACACAATAGTGTACCCTCAAACAAACCATACTATTGTGTATCAGGATCATTCATGTTTTTTTTTGCTTGGCTAAAACTGATCCTTTGGAAAGCCTTTGGTTTTGATTCCAAGAAGGATGAAGCTAAGTAAAAGGAAACAAACTTTAGCAAAGGAAAAGGAAAAGGAAATTGTTGAAAAAAAAACAATCACCTCAGGAAGCAGCTGGACACAATAGTGTACCCCCAAACAAACCACACTATTGTGTATCAGGGTTGCTCATGGGCTACCCCCTTGAAAAATTGTTTGAGTCATGTTTTTTAATTGGGTTTTAATAAGGCATCATATATTTTGGGAAATTGTGCATTTCTGAGAATTCTAAATAAAAGAAACTAATTGAGAAAATAAAAAAAGCTTTAGCAAAGGAAAATGTAAAGGAAATGTTAAAAAAAAATCACCTCAGGAAGCAGCTGGACACAACAGTGTACCCTCAAACAAACCATACTATTGTGTATCATGATCATTCATGTTTTTTTTTGCTTGGCTGAAACTAATCCTTTGGAAAGCCTTTGGTTTTGATTCCAAGAAAAATGAAGCTAAGTAAAAGGAAACAAACTTTAGCAAAGGAAAAGGAAAAGGAAGGTTAAACAAAAAAAACAATCACCTCAGGAAGCAGCTGGACACAATAGTGTACCCCCAAACAAACCACACTATTGTGTATCAGGGTTGCTCATGGACTACCCCCTTGAAAAATTGTTTGAGTCATGTTTTTAATTGGGTTTTAATAAGGCATCATATATTTTGGGAAATTGTGCATTTCTGAGAATTCTAAATAAAAGAAACTAATTGAGAAAATAAAAAAAAGCTTTAGCAAAGGAAAATGCAAAGGGAATGTTAAAAAACAACATCACTTCAGGAAGCAGCTGGACACAATAGTGTACCCTCAAACAAACCATACTATTGTGTATCAGGATCATTCATGTTTTTTTTGCTTGGCTAAAACTGATCCTTTGGAAAGCCTTTGGTTTTGATTCCAAGAAGGATGAAGCTAAGTAAAAGGAAACAAACTTTAGTAAATGAAAAGGGAAAGGAAATGCTTGAAAAAAAAAACATAACCTCAGGAAGCAGCTGGACACAATAGTGTACCCTCAAACAAACCATACTATTGTGTATCATGATCATTCATATTTTTTTTGCTTGGCTGAAACTCATCCTTTGGAAAGCCTTTGGTTTTGATTGCAATTGATTTCAATTCATTTTCAACTGATGTTCAATTGATTTCAAATGATTTCAAATTAATTTCGATTGATTTTCAATTTGTTTAATTAAATTGTTTTTCAATTGATTTTCACTTTACTTTGAATTGATTTCAACTTAATTTATTAATTAACAAAGGAATTGCTTTTCATTTGATTTCAATCCATTTTCATCTCACATGGGGGGATTTATTTCTTTGCTTGTGAAGGCTCAAGCCCATTCTAGCCAGCTTCTTTGCATCCCATCAGCCCAGCCATGGAGCAATTCAACACTGAGATGGACAAGCTCAGGAAGGACTACAATTATCATCTTGTGGAATGGTTTTCCAACCTCAGGAATATCCTGACTCTGGAGAAATTCTCTTTGAGTCCTAAGGCTTGGATTTGTTTTTTTGTTTCCCAATGGGAAATCCATTAATGAATTAGTTAATGAGTTTTATTTTTGGGTGGTTCTTTAAGCAACTCCATGAAGGTGGTGGCTCTGACAGCTGAGATGGCTGACATCAAGGTGAAGCTCAGGTGCTCTCAGGAACAGTTTGTGGACATGCTGCAGAAGTACTACACTCAGCAGTTGGTTCAGCTTGAGGATCCTGATGCTGTGCCTGATTGGGTGATGCTCAGTTTCAGGAATGAACTCAGTCAGATCTTCAAAGACTTCAAGGGTTACCCAAAGATCACTCAGGGGCAATGGATTAGGATTCTCAAGACAGCTCTTCAGGATGCTCAGGATGGTTGGCCATCAGAGTGTATCCCTCTTCCTCAGCCTGCCCAGCCTGCCCAACCTGCTAAGTCTGATACATTTGATGCTACCCTCAGCAAGTTTCAGGATATGGAAAAGGAGTTGAATGCACAGCCTGACCATGAGGTGATGGAGGTGGCTAAGGACTCTCAGGTCTTAGACTCTCAGCCTATGGGGAGTGATGATGAAGCACCATCAGATACACCCTTTGGGTCCCAGGAGCTGGTTGATGATTCTCAGGTCTTAGACTCTCAGCCTATGAGCAGTGATGATTCAGCATCAGATCCATCCTCAGATGCTGAGCCCAAGTCCAAGAAGGCCAAGACTGAAGAGCCCTAGAGGACTGAAGGGTGTTTCTGGTGGTGTGGGATTAGTGCTCAGCTTGGACATAATCTTAGACTTTTGGCAATTTTGATTAATTAATTAATTAATCAATTAATTAATTAGCATGCTTATGCATGTTTAAGTTTCTTATAATTGAGTAATTAGCTAATTAATTAACCAATGAAGTTGTAGCATGTTCATATTTGTGCATGTCTATGTGATTCCTCAGCTTTTTAAGGCTCAAATCTAAGGGCCAGGACTAATCAACCTTTGCTCCATATCATCTCAGCTATGTCTTTCTTTGACTATCATGGGAGAGGCTCAGGCAAACCTCATCCTATGTTTGAAGAGAAGCCTGCTGAGGTGCCTGACAAGGTTTTGTGGACTCAGAAGGGTGGCAAAGGGCGCTACCAGCTTCAGCCCAATGATCCACCTCAGGAACCCTCATGCTTAGCACTCTTCAACAACATGGACTCAGAAAACATTGTGGAGTATCCTAGATACCTTGGGGAGCCTAAGGTTGACTGTGGCAATGGCCATCAAGTCTTCCTCAGCAGAATTCCCTGGCAATCAGGATGTAGAGAATGCTCTGTGCCTGGGTTGAACAAATGGATGATTTTTTTTTTGTTGGTGTGTGTTTGTGTGTTTTAGCATAGGACAATGAGCATTAATTAACTGATATAGTTGTCATTTTTTTCATGGACACCATTTGCAACCCTGCAGGAACACAATGGCTGGTCTCAGGAAGTGGTTCAAAGATATTACACTGAGGTGCTCAGAATGGACCCATTGCCTTGGGGTGCATTTGTAGCTCCTCAGTTCAGACAAGCTCAGTTCAAGCCTCCTGAGCCTGATCCACCAGCTGGATTCTCAGCAGCAACTGCTTCTTCATCAACAGGGAAGGGCTCAGGCAGACCTCATCAGCCCTTCAATGTGCTAGATGCTGCTTTATCAAATATGCAGAGAAGCTCAGTTTGGAAGCCTCAGCCTATCAGGACTGCCAATGATGCTCAGGGCTATGTCAAGTCTGAGCTCCAAAAGCTGAACATCAATGAGATTGACAAGCTCCTGGACAGCTCAGAATCAGATCAGAAGCTCAGTGACTTGGACAATGTACCTGACCTGATTGAGGACATGAAGTCCAAGATTCTTCTACTTGAGCAGGCACTTGAATCTCAGGAGCTCACAATGCTTAGGCTCAGGCAACATGCTAAGAACATGGAAGAGGAGCAAGGTGAGCTCAGGGCTTTGCATGCTGAGCTTCAACTCTCAGTGAAAAGATCTCAGTCCTACTGGGAGCAGAAGCTGTCTCAGGATCTTCTGAATAAGGAGCTCTGAGAAAGTTCATGGAAACTCATCAAATGAGTGAACTAGATCTCAGGCAGCTGATGCAAAAGTCTCCTCAGATTGATCACAAGCCTCAGGACTCAGTGAAGGAAGTTGTGGATGTATAATTAACTCAGGTGCATGACTGCTGAGCAGATATATAGTTAATTAGAAGCCTTAGTCACTTCCTGAGTAATTATACCAGAGGCATTGTGAAGAATTTCTTAGCTGGCAGAAAAAAATGAGTGCAGCTCTGAAGTGATGTGGGTGGTTTTGCCACTGCTGCTGGTTGTTGTTGCAGTTTAGAATAATTAATTGATTAATTAATATTTTAATTAGTTAATTACTTAATTAACTAATTAATGAATCAATAATTAATCAATTATTTAGTTAATTAATTGATTACTTTAGCATAAGTAATGGGTAATGTTGGACATTAACATCACTGAGTTTAGTGTCAAATAATGGGTCTTTCAGTTTTGCTATCAGTTTCTTGTCCCTGACAGGACCTCAGCATTCTGCCTACCTCACTCAGCATTAAGGTCTTCAGCAAGCTTGAGTGATTTTCTTTTACATTGAGCTAAGCAAGGCTTAATGATTTTTGAATGTCTCAGCATGTGACTATCAGCAGGACACACTGGCAAAAGATGGCTGGGAAAGTGATGGGGTTGGGTAGAGTTGCAAGCACTAAGATAATTAATTAATTACTGAGATTGAACTTAGCAGCATGGACTAAGATTGAATTTAGCAGATGTGAATCAATTTAGATTTGATATTCTTTAAAATAATTACTTGGATGGATGATTGTTTTTTTCACCTCAGGAAGAAGCTGGACACAATAGTGTACCCTCAAACAAACCATACTATTGTGTATCAGGATCATTCATGTTTTTTTTGCTTGGCTGAAACTAATCCTTTGGAAAGCCTTTGGTTTTGATTCCAAGAAGGATGAAGCTAAGTAAAAGGAAACAAACTTTAGTAAAGGAAAAGGGAAAGGAAATGCTTGAAAAAAAAAATATATAACCTCAGGAAGCAGCTGGACACAATAGTGTACCCTCAAACAAACCATACTATTGTGTATCAGGGTTGCTCATGGACTACCCTCTTGAAAAATTGTTTGAGTCATGTTTTTTAATTGGGTTTTAATAAGGCATTATATATATATAGTTTGGGAAATTGAGCATTTCTGAGAATTCTAAATAAAAGAAACTAATTGAGAAAATAAAAGACATAAACTTTAGCAAAGGAAAATGTAAAGGGAATGTTAAAAAACAAAATCACCTCAGGAAGCAGCTGGACACAATAGTGTACCCTCAAACAAACCATACTATGGTGTATCATGATCATTCATGTTTTTTTTGCTTGGCTGAAACTAATTCTTTGGAAAGCCTTTGGTTTTGAATCCAAGAAAAATGAAGCTAAGTAAAAGGAAACAAACTTTAGCAAAGGAAAAAGAAAAGGTAATGGTTGAAAAAACAAAACAATCACCTCAGGAAGCAGCTGGACACAATAGTGTACCCCCAAACAAACCACACTATTGTGTATCAGGGTTGCTCATGGACTACCCTCTTGAAAAATTGTTTGAGTCATGTTTTTTAATTGGGTTTTAATAAGGCATCATATATTTTGAGAAATTGTGCATTTCTGAGAATTGTAAATAAAAGAAACTAATTGAGAAAATAAAAAATAATAGCAAAGGAAAAGGTAAAGAGAATGTTAAAAAAAAACACATCAGGAAGCAGCTGGACACAATAGTGTACCCCCAAACAAACCATACTATTTTGTATCATGATCATTCATGTTTTTTTTTGGTTGGCTGAAACTCATCCTTTGGAAAATCTTTACTTAGTTTTGATGTTATATACCAAAGCTTGTGAAGGCTCAGATCCAACTGTGTTGATTTTCTCAGCAATGGTGCTGCTGAAGAGCATGCTGGAATCACTCAGCACCATGAGATCACTTAGCTCCAGAGGACTGAAGGGTGTTTGTGGTGGGGTAGGATTGGTGCTCAGCTTGACCATGGCCTCAGACTTGTGGCAATCTTGATCAGTAATGCATGCTTATGCATGTGTAAGTTTCTTATAATTACTTGCACATGCATCATATTCAATAACTATATATTTATTGATTCATTATATATAATTGTAATAAATGAATTAGTCAACTAGATATTTTGCTTGCATGGTGTTGAATTATGCATGTCTATGTGATTCCTCAGCTGCTTTGATCTCAGTGTGATTTCCACCAACTCAGCTGCACTTCTTGCAAGCCATGAGTTCAACTCAGCAGAATCACCCTTGGCAGCAGAAGACAGCTGCCCAAGGCTCAGGAAAAAAGGATGCTGAGGGCAGACATGGGCCCTGGGTATCTCAGCAACTCCTTAGCACTATTCCTGCTGGAATGGTGTATAGATCAGAGAATGGAAAGCATGCTCAGTTGGTGCAACCATGTGATCCTAAGAGACCTTACATCTCTGAGCTGTTCCAGAATCAGGATAAGGAGGTTATGGTCAAGTACCCCAGGTACTTGGATGAGCCTAAGGTTGCCTGTGGTTCCTGTGGAGCTGACATTTTTCTCAGCAGAATTCCTTGGCAGTCAGGATGTGGCAAATGCAGAGTTCCTGGGTGGACTTAGAATAATGTTATTTTTGTTTACCTGTTTTTTGTTCCTGATTTTTATGTGCTTTGAACTAAAGTATTACTGCTAATTACAAGTACCTCAGTGACAGTTCAAAACTAAGTAAACAACATTAATCATATAATTAATTAATTAATCAATTAGCCAATTAATTAATTAATTGAGCAATTCATTACTTGGTAACATCATGAATTAATTGATCAATTACAGTCTACTTTTTTTTTCATTCAAAGCAGCTTGCATTGAGGGCTCAGATGGATGGCCTCAGTGGGTGATCCAGTGGTACTACACCAGGATTCTCAGCATGGATCCATTGCCATGGGCTAAGTCAGTGAAGGCAGATTATGGTAAGGCTCAGTTCATGGAAGATCCTTCTGCTTCTAGGCCTTCATCTTCTCAGCGTCCTCCTGAGCCTCTAGGCACACCAGTGATGCCTAAGGCAAGGCCAGCTGATCCACCTCAGGCCAGTGAGTGTCATAGTGGTGAAGCATACTACTTCAGCCAGCTCCAGCAGATGGATCCTGGGGGTAGGTGCTCAGCAATGGCTCTGCTTCTCTCAGATGCTTCCATGAATGAGCAACCTCTGGAGGACCTGTTAGTTCACATGGATGAGCTCCAAGAATGCATAGAATTGATGGAACAAGCTCAGAAAATGCAGGAAAGGACTGTGGCCAGACTGAAGACTGATCTCAGCTTGATGGAAGATGTGTCTCAGGAGATTTCAAACAGCATCATTGCTTTCCAAGGAACCCATGAGAACATGGTTTTAATGAAAGAGGCAGTACTAGCTGAGGAGGAGGCTCAGCAGGAGGCTGAAAAAGCTGAGAGGGAGGCTCAGGAGGCTCAGGATGCTTTCATGACTCAGAAACTTGAAGATTTCATAGAGAAGTACCAGATCCCAAGGGACAGGGCTGTCTATTTGCTCAGTCCTCCAGCTAAGAAACAAAAATCTCAGAATGATGAGGATAAGTAGCTGCCTCAGGCAGATGGAACATCACTGAGTGAAATCTCAGTGTCCTTTTTAAATTTGCTTTCAGAAGCAATCCATACAGCTTGAATGAAGGAAAAAGGTGTGCAGATCTGAAGGGATGTGGAGGCTTCTTCTGCAGGTTAATTGTTGGAATTATTTGATTGCATAATTAATTAGTCAATTTGTTTAACACATATTGATTGGTAGTTACTTATTTATCTGATTAATTATTCAATGAACACTATACACTGAGATTAGTGTCAAATAGTTGTATGCTTTGCTCTCAGCTTTTTGCCCCTGACAGGACATCAGCATCCTGAGAAAGTGGAGTACCTGGTGACTACATCATCCTTCTTAGTTGTGAGCATCTTCAGTGCTGAGGAGAAGGAGAAGCCAAGGCACTGAGGTTCTACTTCATAGTGAGACTCACTATGAAGTAGAACCTCAGACTGTGAGCTACATCATCTTCTACCTCAGCTAGCTTCTCAGTTGTTTCCAACTTTGTCCTGAGCAAGGCTCAGTATGCATCAGCATAGCACTATCAGCAAAAGGCATTGCCAGAAAATGTTTGGGAAAGTGGTGGGTCTGGGTAAGGTTTCAATGACTAAGGTTGAACTCAGCTGAAGGAACCAACCATTTCTATAACTAACTGTTCATTAATTAATCACAATATGTTCAACTTTGATTTGGTGTCACTGAGCCATTCCCTGTGAATCAAATACTGGGTCTATTTGCTGACATTTGCGGTAAACCTTGCTTTTTGACGTCCGTATGAATTATTTGACGTCCGTAGTCAAAAATTGGCAACATTTGCGGGAACCATAATTTTACCGTAAAATGCAATGAGCACGAGCGAAGAGTAACAAGGGCTGATATAAGATGAGGGGTCAATCCTGAAGAGATCACGGTTCATCACGTTTTGTCACGGTATTTTCGACAAATGTCATAATGTAGGTTACTGATTAGTGTGGGGAGGCCCCCCCCCCCCAACAAATTTGTGTAACAGAATAGTGTGGAAAAAACAAATTACCGGGTACAGAATAGTGTAAAATCAAAAAAAAATGATAGATTTAAATTGATTTCAATTTATTTTCAATTGATTTCAATTTACTTTCAATTGATTTCAATTTACTTTCAATTGATTTCAATTTACTTTCAATTGATTTCAATTTACTTTCAATTGATTTCAATTTAGTTTCAATTGATTTCAATTTACTTTCAATTGATTTCAATCTACTTTCAATTGATTTCAATTTACTTTCAATTGATTTCAATTTACTTTCAATTGATTTCAATTTACTTTCAATTGATTTCAATTTACTTGCAATTGATTTCAATTTACTTTCAATTGATTTCAATTTACTTTCAATTGATTTCAATTTACTTTCAATTGATTTCAATTTACTTTCAATTGATTTCAATTTATTTTGAATTGATTTCAATTTACTTTCAATTGATTTCAATTTATTTTGAATTGATTTCAATTTACTTTCAACTGATTTCAATTTACTTTCAATTGATTTCAATTTATTTTGAATTGATTTCAATTTAATTAATTACTTTCAATTGATTTGAATTTATTTTGAATTGATTTGAATTTATTTTGAATTGATTTCAAATTACTTTCAATTGCTTTCAATTTACTTTCAATTGATTTCAATTTACTTTCAATTGATTTCAATTTACTTGCAATTGATTTCAATTTACTTGCAATTGATTTCAATGTTAAAAAACAAAACCACCTCAGGAAGCAGCTGGACACAATAGTGTACCCTCAAACAAACCATACTATTGTGTATCATGATCATTCATGTTTTTTTTTGCTTGGCTGAAACTAATCCTTTGGAAAGCCTTTGGTTTTGAATCCAAGAAAAATGAAGCTAAGTAAAAGGAAACAAACTTTAGCAAAGGAAAAAGAAAAGGAAATGGTTGAAAAAAAAAAACAATCACCTCAGGAAGCAGCTGGACACAATAGTGTACCCCCAAACAAACCACACTATTGTGTATCAGGGTTGCTCATGGACTACCCCCTTGAAAAATTGTTTGAGTCATGTTTTTTAATTGGGTTTTAATAAGGCATCATATATTTTGGGAAATTGTGCATTTCTGAGAATTCTAAATAAAAGAAACTAATTGAGAAAATAAAAAAAAGCTTTAGCAAAGGAAAATGTAAAGGAAATGTTAAAAAACAACATCACCTCAGGAAGCAGCTGGACACAATAGTGTACCCTCAAACAAACCATACTATTGTGTATCAGGATCATTCATGTTTTTTTTTGCTTGGCTAAAACTGATCCTTTGGAAAGCCTTTGGTTTTGATTCCAAGAAGGATGAAGCTAAGTAAAAGGAAACAAACTTTAGCAAAGGAAAAGGAAAAGGAAATTGTTGAAAAAAAAACAATCACCTCAGGAAGCAGCTGGACACAATAGTGTACCCCCAAACAAACCACACTATTGTGTATCAGGGTTGCTCATGGACTACCCCCTTGAAAAATTGTTTGAGTCATGTTTTTTAATTGGGTTTTAATAAGGCATCATATATTTTGGGAAATTGTGCATTTCTGAGAATTCTAAATAAAAGAAACTAATTAATTGAGAAAATAAAAAAAGCTTTAGCAAAGGAAAATGTAAAGGAAATGTTAAAAAAAAATCACCTCAGGAAGCAGCTGGACACAACAGTGTACCCTCAAACAAACCATACTATTGTGTATCATGATCATTCATGTTTTTTTTTGCTTGGCTGAAACTAATCCTTTGGAAAGCCTTTGGTTTTGATTCCAAGAAAAATGAAGCTAAGTAAAAGGAAACAAACTTTAGCAAAGGAAAAGGAAAAGGAAGGTTTAAAAAAAAACAATCACCTCAGGAAGCAGCTGGACACAATAGTGTACCCCCAAACAAACCACACTATTGTGTATCAGGGTTGCTCATGGACTACCCCCTTGAAAAATTGTTTGAGTCATGTTTTTTAATTGGGTTTTAATAAGGCATCATATATTTTGGGAAATTGTGCATTTCTGAGAATTCTAAATAAAAGAAACTAATTGAGAAAATAAAAAAAAGCTTTAGCAAAGGAAAATGCAAAGGGAATGTTAAAAAACAACATCACCTCAGGAAGCAGCTGGACACAATAGTGTACCCTCAAACAAACCATACTATTGTGTATCAGGATCATTCATGTTTTTTTTTTGCTTGGCTAAAACTGATCCTTTGGAAAGCCTTTGGTTTTGATTCCAAGAAGGATGAAGCTAAGTAAAAGGAAACAAACTTTAGTAAATGAAAAGGGAAAGGAAATGCTTGAAAAAAAAAACATAACCTCAGGAAGCAGCTGGACACAATAGTGTACCCTCAAACAAACCATACTATTGTGTATCATGATCATTCATGTTTTTTTTGCTTGGCTGAAACTCATCCTTTGGAAAGCCTTTGGTTTTGATTGCAATTGATTTCAATTCATTTTCAACTGATGTTCAATTGATTTCAAATGATTTCAAATTAATTTCGATTGATTTTCAATTTGTTTAATTAAATTGTTTTTCAATTGATTTTCACTTTACTTTGAATTGATTTCAACTTAATTTATTAATTAACAAAGGAATTGCTTTTCATTTGATTTCAATCCATTTTCATCTCACATGGGGGGATTTATTTCTTTGCTTGTGAAGGCTCAAGCCCATTCTAGCCAGCTTCTTTGCATCCCATCAGCTCAGCCATGGAGCAATTCAACACTGAGATGGACAAGCTCAGGAAGGACTACAATTATCATCTTGTGGAATGGTTTTCCAACCTCAGGAATATCCTGACTCTGGAGAAATTCTCTTTGAGTCCTAAGGCTTGGATTTGTTTTTTTGTTTCCCAATGGGAAATCCATTAATGAATTAGTTAATGAGTTTTATTTTTGGGTGGTTCTTTAAGCAACTCCATGAAGGTGGTGGCTCTGACAGCTGAGATGGCTGACATCAAGGTGAAGCTCAGGTGCTCTCAGGAACAGTTTGTGGACATGCTGCAGAAGTACTACACTCAGCAGTTGGTTCAGCTTGAGGATCCTGATGCTGTGCCTGATTGGGTGATGCTCAGTTTCAGGAATGAACTCAGTCAGATCTTCAAAGACTTCAAGGGTTACCCAAAGATCACTCAGGGGCAATGGATTAGGATTCTCAAGACAGCTCTTCAGGATGCTCAGGATGGTTGGCCATCAGAGTGTATCCCTCTTCCTCAGCCTGCCCAGCCTGCCCAACCTGCTAAGTCTGATACATTTGATGCTACCCTCAGCAAGTTTCAGGATATGGAAAAGGAGTTGAATGCACAGCCTGACCATGAGGTGATGGAGGTGGCTAAGGACTCTCAGGTCTTAGACTCTCAGCCTATGGGGAGTGATGATGAAGCACCATCAGATACACCCTTTGGGTCCCAGGAGCTGGTTGATGATTCTCAGGTCTTAGACTCTCAGCCTATGAGCAGTGATGATTCAGCATCAGATCCATCCTCAGATGCTGAGCCCAAGTCCAAGAAGGCCAAGACTGAAGAGCCCTAGAGGACTGAAGGGTGTTTCTGGTGGTGTGGGATTAGTGCTCAGCTTGGACATAATCTTAGACTTTTGGCAATTTTGATTAATTAATTAATTAATCAATTAATTAATTAATTAATTAGCATGCTTATGCATGTTTAAGTTTCTTATAATTGAGTAATTAGCTAATTAATTAACCAATGAAGTTGTAGCATGTTCATATTTGTGCATGTCTATGTGATTCCTCAGCTTTTTAAGGCTCAAATCTAAGGGCCAGGACTAATCAACCTTTGCTCCATATCATCTCAGCTATGTCTTTCTTTGACTATCATGGGAGAGGCTCAGGCAAACCTCATCCTATGTTTGAAGAGAAGCCTGCTGAGGTGCCTGACAAGGTTTTGTGGACTCAGAAGGGTGGCCAAGGGCGCTACCAGCTTCAGCCCAATGATCCACCTCAGGAACCCTCATGCTTAGCACTCTTCAACAACATGGACTCAGAAAACATTGTGGAGTATCCTAGATACCTTAGGGAGCCTAAGGTTGACTGTGGCAATGGCCATCAAGTCTTCCTCAGCAGAATTCCCTGGCAATCAGGATGTAGAGAATGCTCTGTGCCTGGGTTGAACAAATGGATGATTTTTTTTTGTTGGTGTGTGTTTGTGTGTTTTAGCATAGGACAATGAGCATTAATTAACTGATATAGTTGTCATTTTTTTCATGGACACCATTTGCAACCCTGCAGGAACACAATGGCTGGTCTCAGGAAGTGGTTCAAAGATATTACACTGAGGTGCTCAGAATGGACCCATTGCCTTGGGGTGCATTTGTAGCTCCTCAGTTCAGACAAGCTCAGTTCAAGCCTCCTGAGCCTGATCCACCAGCTGGATTCTCAGCAGCAACTGCTTCTTCATCAACAGGGAAGGGCTCAGGCAGACCTCATCAGCCCTTCAATGTGCTAGATGCTGCTTTATCAAATATGCAGAGAAGCTCAGTTTGGAAGCCTCAGCCTATCAGGACTGCCAATGATGCTCAGGGCTATGTCAAGTCTGAGCTCCAAAAGCTGAACATCAATGAGATTGACAAGCTCCTGGACAGCTCAGAATCAGATCAGAAGCTCAGTGACTTGGACAATGTACCTGACCTGATTGAGGACATGAAGTTCAAGATTCTTCTACTTGAGCAGGCACTTGAATCTCAGGAGCTCACAATGCTTAGGCTCAGGCAACATGCTAAGAACATGGAAGAGGAGCAAGGTGAGCTCAGGGCTTTGCATGCTGAGCTTCAACTCTCAGTGAAAAGATCTCAGTCCTACTGGGAGCAGAAGCTGTCTCAGGATCTTCTGAATAAGGAAGCTCTGAGAAAGTTCATGGAAACTCATCAAATGAGTGAACTAGATCTCAGGCAGCTGATGCAAAAGTCTCCTCAGATTGATCACAAGCCTCAGGACTCAGTGAAGGAAGTTGTGGATGTATAATTAACTCAGGTGCATGACTGCTGAGCAGATATATAGTTAATTAGAAGCCTTAGTCACTTCCTGAGTAATTATACCAGAGGCACTGTGAAGAATTTCTTAGCTGGCAGAAAAAAATGAGTGCAGCTCTGAAGTGATGTGGGTGGTTTTGCCACTGCTGCTGGTTGTTGTTGCAGTTTAGAATAATTAATTGATTAATTAATATTTTAATTAGTTAATTACTTAATTAACTAATTAATGAATCAATAATTAATCAATTATTTAGTTAATTAATTGATTACTTTAGCATAAGTAATGGGTAATGTTGGACATTAACATCACTGAGTTTAGTGTCAAATAATGGGTCTTTCAGTTTTGCTATCAGTTTCTTGTCCCTGACAGGACCTCAGCATTCTGCCTACCTCACTCAGCATTAAGGTCTTCAGCAAGCTTGAGTGATTTTCTTTTACATTGAGCTAAGCAAGGCTCAATGATTTTTGAATGTCTCAGCATGTGACTATCAGCAGGACACACTGGCAAAAGATGGCTGGGAAAGTGATGGGGTTGGGTAGAGTTGCAAGCACTAAGATAATTAATTAATTACTGAGATTGAACTTAGCAGCATGGACTAAGATTGAATTTAGCAGATGTGAATCAATTTAGATTTGATATTCTTTAAAATAATTACTTGGATGGATGATTGTTTTTTCACCTCAGGAAGAAGCTGGACACAATAGTGTACCCTCAAACAAACCATACTATTGTGTATCAGGATCATTCATGTTTTTTTTTGCTTGGCTGAAACTAATCCTTTGGAAAGCCTTTGGTTTTGATTCCAAGAAGAATGAAGCTAAGTAAAAGGAAACAAACTTTAGTAAAGGAAAAGGGAAAGGAAATGCTTGAAAAAAAAAATATAACCTCAGGAAGCAGCTGGACACAATAGTGTACCCTCAAACAAACCATACTATTGTGTATCAGGGTTGCTCATGGACTACCCTCTTGAAAAATTGTTTGAGTCATGTTTTTTAATTGGGTTTTAATAAGGCATCATATATTTTGGGAAATTAGGCATTTCTGAGAATTCTAAATAAAAGAAACTAATTGAGAAAATAAAAGACATAAACTTTAGCAAAGGAAAATGTAAAGGGAATGTTAAAAAACAAAATCACCTCAGGAAGCAGCTGGACACAATAGTGTACCCTCAAACAAACCATACTATTGTGTATCATGATCATTCATGTTTTTTTTTGCTTGGCTGAAACTAATCCTTTGGAAAGCCTTTGGTTTTGAATCCAAGAAAAATGAAGCTAAGTAAAAGGAAACAAACTTTAGCAAAGGAAAAAGAAAAGGAAATGGTTGAAAAAAAACAATCACCTCAGGAAGCAGCTGGACACAATAGTGTACCCCCAAACAAACCACACTATTGTGTATCAGGGTTGCTCATGGACTACCCTCTTGAAAAATTGTTTGAGTCATGTTTTTTAATTGGGTTTTAATAAGGCATCATATATTTTGAGAAATTGAGCATTTCTGAGAATTGTAAATAAAAGAAACTAATTGAGAAAATAAAAAATAATAGCAAAGGAAAAGGTAAAGAGAATGTTTAAAAAAACACATCAGGAAGCAGCTGGACACAATAGTGTACCCCCAAACAAACCATACTATTTTGTATCATGATCATTCATGTTTTTTTTGGTTGGCTGAAACTCATCCTTTGGAAAATCTTTACTTAGTTTTGATGTTATATACCAAAGCTTGTGAAGGCTCAGATCCAACTGTGTTGATTTTCTCAGCAATGGTGCTGCTGAAGAGCATGCTGGAATCACTCAGCACCATGAGATCACTTAGCTCCAGAGGACTGAAGGGTGTTTCTGGTGGGGTAGGATTGGTGCTCAGCTTGACCATGGCCTCAGACTTGTGGCAATCTTGATCAGTAATGCATGCTTATGCATGTGTAAGTTTCTTATAATTACTTGCACATGCATCATATTCAATAACTATATATTTATTGATTCATTATATATAATTGTAATAAATGAATTAGTCAACTAGATATTTTGCTTGCATGGTGTTGAATTATGCATGTCTATGTGATTCCTCAGCTGCTTTGATCTCAGTGTGATTTCCACCAACTCAGCTGCACTTCTTGCAAGCCATGAGTTCAAACACTGCTGCTAGTCAGCAGAATCACCCTTGGCAGCAGAAGACAGCTGCCCAAGGCTCAGGAAAAAAGGATGCTGAGGGCAGATATGGGCCCTGGGTACCTCAGCAACTCCTTAGCACTATTCCTGCTGGAATGGTGTATAGATCAGAGAATGGAAAGCATGCTCAGTTGGTGCAACCATGTGATCCTAAGAGACCTTACATCTCTGAGCTGTTCCAGAATCAGGATAAGGAGGTTATGGTCAAGTACCCCAGGTACTTGGATGAGCCTAAGGTTGCCTGTGGTTCCTGTGGAGCTGACATTTTTCTCAGCAGAATTCCTTGGCAGTCAGGATGTGGCAAATGCAGAGTTCCTGGGTGGACTTAGAATAATGTTATTTTTGTTTACCTGTTTTTTGTTCCTGATTTTTATGTGCTTTGAACTAAAGTATTACTGCTAATTACAAGTACCTCAGTGACAGTTCAAAACTAAGTAAACAACATTAATCATATAATTAATTAATTAATCAATTAGCCAATTAATTAATTAATTGAGCAATTCATTACTTGGTAACATCATGAATTAATTGATCAATTACAGTCTACTTTTTTTTTCATTCAAAGCAGCTTGCATTGAGGGCTCAGATGGATGGCCTCAGTGGGTGATCCAGTGGTACTACACCAGGATTCTCAGCATGGATCCATTGCCATGGGCTAAGTCAGTGAAGGCAGATTATGGTAAGGCTCAGTTCATGGAAGATCCTTCTGCTTCTAGGCCTTCATCTTCTCAGCGTCCTCCTGAGCCTCTAGGCACACCAGTGATGCCTAAGGCAAGGCCAGCTGATCCACCTCAGGCCAGTGAGTGTCATAGTGGTGAAGCATACTACTTCAGCCAGCTCCAGCAGATGGATCCTGGGGGTAGGTGCTCAGCAATGGCTCTGCTTCTCTCAGATGCTTCCATGAATGAGCAACCTCTGGAGGACCTGTTAGTTCACATGGATGGGCTCCAAGAATGCATAGAATTGATGGAACAAGCTCAGAAAATGCAGGAAAGGACTGTGGCCAGACTGAAGACTGATCTCAGCTTGATGGAAGATGTGTCTCAGGAGATTTCAAACAGCATCATTGCTTTCCAAGGAACCCATGAGAACATGGTTTTAATGAAAGAGGCAGTACTAGCTGAGGAGGAGGCTCAGCAGGAGGCTGAAAAAGCTGAGAGGGAGGCCCAGGAGGCTCAGGATGCTTTCATGACCCAGAAACTTGAAGATTTCATAGAGAAGTACCAGATCCCAAGGGACAGGGCTGTCTATTTGCCCAGTCCTCCAGCTAAGAAACAAAAATCTCAGAATGATGAGGATAAGTAGCTGCCCCAGGCAGATGGAACATCACTGAGTGAAATCTCAGTGTCCTTTTTAAATTTGCTTTCAGAAGCAATCCATACAGCTTGAATGAAGGAAAAAGGTGTGCAGATCTGAAGGGATGTGGAGGCTTCTTCTGCAGGTTAATTGTTGGAATTATTTGATTGCATAATTAATTAGTCAATTTGTTTAACACATATTGATTGGTAGTTACTTATTTATCTGATTAATTATTCAATGAACACTATACACTGAGATTAGTGTCAAATAGTTGTATGCTTTGCTCTCAGCTTTTTGCCCCTGACAGGACATCAGCATCCTGAGAAAGTGGAGTACCTGGTGACTACATCATCCTTCTTAGTTGTGAGCATCTTCAGTGCTGAGGAGAAGGAGAAGCCAAGGCACTGAGGTTCTACTTCATAGTGAGACTCACTATGAAGTAGAACCTCAGACTGTGAGCTACATCATCTTCTACCTCAGCTAGCTTCTCAGTTGTTTCCAACTTTGTCCTGAGCAAGGCTCAGTATGCATCAGCATAGCACTATCAGCAAAAGGCATTGCCAGAAAATGTTTGGGAAAGTGGTGGGTCTGGGTAAGGTTTCAATGACTAAGGTTGAACTCAGCTGAAGGAACCAACCATTTCTATAACTAACTGTTCATTAATTAATCACAATATGTTCAACTTTGATTTGGTGTCATGAGTTATGGCTTAGATTGAACTTGTATGCAACCTCTCAGCTTCTTTGCAATGGTTCAGGTTGATTTTTGAGCTTGTGAAGGATCAAACACAGCCAGTAGAACCTTAGCTCAGTTCCACTGCACTAACTTTTTCAGCCATGGCAATGGGGAAGCTTACTACTCAGGAAGAGGGACAGCTCCTTAAGTTCATCTCAGATCTTGGCATTACACCTCAGGATGCTCTTATCTTCCTCAGTAGGCATGAGATCGACATGGGGGAGCATCAGGACCTCAGGTCTTCCCTTGATGAGCTGCACAAGGTGCATGCCTCCCTCAGTGGACAGTCTCAGGGAAATGGATTCAACCTCATCAAGTGCAAGGCTGAGCTGCTCAACATGCTGGCACTTGTGGAGGTCAGGCAGCATCAGTGGGTCCAGCATTGCCAGAACATTGAGAACCTCAGGGCTGATGTGATCAAGGAGGAGCTTGCTGAGATCAGGGACAAAGTGCTCAGCAGGATGCCCCAGCAGGTCACTGAGGACTCTCAGCATGCTGATGACTCTCAGGTCTTTGGTGACTCTCAGCAGGATGATGACTCTCAGGTCTTTGGTGACTCTCAGCAGGATGATGACTCTCAGGTCTTTGGTGACTCTGAGCAGGATGATGACTCTCAGGTCTTTGGTGACTCTGAGCAGAATGATGAAGCAGCATCAGATCCACCATCATCAGATGCTGAGCCCAAGTCCAAGAAGGCCAAGACTGAAGAGCCCTAGAGGACTGAAGGGTGTTTCTGGTGGTGTGGGATTGGCCATAATCTTAGACTTTTGGTCAGTTTTATCAGTAATT